CTAGCATCTAATGCCCACTGCCCAGAGTGGTGGTCTCTTGGTCCCTCACTATGGGAGGGATTAAAAAGAAACAAGGTAAAGGTACAGAGCTGTTGCCATATCTGAGTGTTCCCTTGTAGGACACCAGCTGGGCTGGGAGGAGAGGAAGGAATGAGCAAAGACACTGGGGGTCAAGCCATCATTTCTGATTGTAAAATGAAACTATCTGGTCAGTCTGTTGTATTGGGTACTACTGTCAGCTTATATCTCTTCCCTCTGGCATCTTCCCTGTAAGAAGAAAAGAGTGCATGGGGATAGCAGAAAGTAGAATGAGAAGATGCCTGAGGAGAGAATAGAAACCCTCAGAGTTCCTAATCATCCCTGTTTTCAAATGGCTTTGAACATGGACTGGGCATAGTAACTTAAAACTTTGGTACCTGTCTTACCTGTGGTGACTGCTGCTTGCTTTGTTTAGTGTTGATCAACCAGCTTTCAGCAGAGAAAATAAAAAGCAGAATTGAAAGTGATCAGAGGGGAGAGAAGAGCTGGAGAGAAATGAATAGAAGAAAAAGAAATATGGAAAAATGGACAGAAATTGAAGAGTAAAATATTCAGAGAAAAGGAAGAGTAGAAAATAGCAATGGAAAAGAAAATCACAGCAGCAGAAAAATATATTTGAATTACTTGAAAGGCACAGATATGTCTTTCTCTTGAAAGCATGGACACCTTTTGGTTGGCACACAAGATACATAACACTCAGTAAAGATTTTCCAGAGGAGAACATGTGACTGCTGTGCTTGTAGGAGACAGAAATGGAGAAAGGTTAACACCAAGAATACAGTAACCAAAGGTGTCCCTAGTTAAGCAGAAGGTAGAAATGAGTACTGATGGAAATGTGCCTTTCCAGGAGCAAGAGGAAATGCTGGAATGTCTGAGCTTGAGCCATAGGAGGTTCAGCTCCAAAGCCCATTCTAGTGGTTTAAAAGATTCTCCTTTAACATTGAAGGTCTGTCAGGAAAATAGTCCCTCCCTTTCTCTTCCCTACTTCTTCCTTACTGGTAATTCAGAAGCTTCTATTAGAAACATTGAGTTCCTGACTTTTTAATTTTTCTATGCAGAGATGCGAGATGAATTCTCATGGATGACTTGGAGATCCCTCTGCTTTGTTCCATGCATAGATGAACAAGGTATATGTGAATCCACAAGACTAAAAGCAAGGTGAGGGGGAAAAGCTTCATTTTTACCTATAGATAAAAAAAATATTCTCTTATATTTAAAATTATTATAGCTGAGTGTTGAAGAAAAACACCAAACATTTTAAGACTTGATAATATGCGAATCAGCAACACTGGGAGAAGTGTCTGCAAGATGATTTGAGTTTCAAGGACGTAAACATACTTCATTGCTCTGATTTAGTCACCCTTGGTCATTCAGGATGTAAGTGGGAACTGATCTCATTTAGGAAATCATTGAGAGGAGATGAGTCTGAGGACTTGATTCTATCTTATCTTGACACAGCACAGTTAATAAAGGCAGGCAATTATTATGTTTTCTGGGATGTACCCTCATCTGAGGCATTGTTAATAAACATTAAAGGGCTAATTCTCCAAAGATGTTTAAGCACCTAGCTCCCATTGATTTCAATAAAACGAGGCATCTAAGTGCTTTTAAAAATCTGACCTTAAGTGTCATCAGGAAAAAGTGAGGCAAAAGATAAGCAGGTTCTAAAAGAATAACAAGGCATGTGATTCTGGTAGGCTCCTGGTTACTACATTTTACATATATGGGATGCCTGCACATTATAAACCAAACAAAGATACAAACAAACAATCCCCAGCTATAATGCTTAAAGCATCAAATTGTTATTACTTCTCCAGTCTTCTCTCAGACATCTTTTACAAAACATGCTATATGGATTGAGATAAAAAGCAGGAAAACAACAAACCCACCGATATCCCCTCTGCTCCATTCAGCCTCTCTGACACAGCCCCCCCTCCCAGTGCCAGGCTTGCCCCTCCTTTTCCATTCCCCAGAGTACTTGGTGAGCTGGAGGGGTTTGTTCACCCAGCTCTGTGTGACAAGTAAACAGTTGGTCACAGCCCTAATTACAGATGCTTTTTTTTTTTTTCACCCCACTCAAACATATTCCTTCAGTTAGAGGAAAATACCTTGCTCTCCAGATTAGCCGTATCAGGAAGTTACAGTAGGTATGACACAGTCCCAGTGTGATAAATAGATGGATAGGCAGTGGCATACAAATGTTCATGGGGTTTTTTTTTTTTTTTAGGAAAAATCCTGTGCTGGAAAAATATCACGTTGGTTTGTCACTATCTTTTCAGGTTTGTTGCATTTTGAAACAAAACAGAAACTGAGAGGGAAGGAGGTTTCCTTGCTGTTTATGTTTCTTTCATATTAAGCCAACTATGCTGCTTACCTACTTCTTGGTAAATATTGCTCACCTACTTCTCTTTGGGATTAAGTAAATGAAAACAAACCCTCCACAGATAACAGTAATTCCCAAAGGAAGAGATTTTCAAATTCAAAGGCCAAACTGAAATTTAAAATGAATTTCCTAGATTTCCGACCTAGATTCCCTGTCTTATTCTCAGTGCATTTGTCCTTTTAAAGGAACCAATATGTTTGTATAACTGATGTGAAACAAGCTTGACTCCAAAAAGATTTAACTTAATATCTGGCTAAGCATTCAGAGGGTAGTCCATCTGTAGAATGTACATTAAGGACCCTGGCTGGAGCGCAGCTAGTCATGTATGATATCAGGCACACAAATGTGACGTGATGCCCATATACTCTTGAGCATAATTCGAAGTGCCACGAAGCTCTATGGGTAGAGAAGCTATAAACACAGTTGTCACAAATGAGAAAGTCTACAGGGTTATATTCAGACTGAAGAATGAAGAAGCATTAGAACCAGCCATCACGTCTTAATGAAATCGTTAATTAAGATATTATGGAATTCCTAGCTGAAGATAATATCTGTCCAGCAACCTTGCAGGGTGCTTTAATTAACCATTTCTTCCCTGGAATCAGAGGCAGACTTAAAAGTGGTTCAGACAGCCCTCAGTAAATATACAAATACAATCAAAATGATGTTACTTTTTTTTTCCAGTGGATTTTTTATATCTTTTTCTTTCTTTCTAAACAGATCAGCACAGAACATGTGATTATAGGAATAAGTACACGTTTAATCTACATAATCATCAGTCTTTCTTTATGTAAAAATGATTAGTAAATAGGGTTTTTAAGCAACTGTTTAGATTAGACATTGGCATCATAGATTAACTTATTTCTAAAACACTTGATTTTATCACTGCCTAATGATTTGTCTCATGATTTATTGGCTAATATGATGAATCATGTAAGATTTATTGTTTATCCTATAAATAGTGCAACAAATCATTAAACAGTGATAAAACCCAGCAGTTTCACAAGTCTACCTATGTTGTCTTCATGTACAACGTGCTTGTGTTGTACAATAATTTGATGGTTCTGTTTTCAGTTTTATGGTATCAGGTGAATAGGCATCTCTGTTTAAATTAAATGGTTTTACGAAATAATAGTGAAGTCATAATCTTATACTCCAGCTATATTTATTTTATACAGAAAAATAAAGCCTAATGCCTAATGTATAGTAAATCTGTAAATTTATTCACAATAATAAATGTAATATTCTTTCTTAGAAACACCTTAAAAATAATGGTAGTTTTTCATATTTTAGCATGTCAGCTGTGTTTTTCTTGCTATGGTTTCATATAGCAGTTGACAAAAATGTTGCTTCTATCCTGGTAATTTTAGAGATCTGAATCCATCCCATTTAGTTCAGCTGAAAGGATGGTGTGGGATATCGGTGAATGGAATATATGAAATTTGGCATTCAGATAATGGGAGTGGCCTTTTTTTTTTCTTAGGACATAATGGGTGCTCTTGTTGCAGACATAGCTATGTCTGCCTGTATACATTAGGGATGAAAGAATAGAAGATAGAACTAATATTCTTGAAAATTCCCCGAGGTCATCAGTGGGTTAGAATAGATGCGGTCATGATGATATTATATGCTGCAGTAGTAGATTTGCAGTATTTTAAATTGAATTATTTGGACTGTAGTGGTCAACCTTTATTGCTAACTGGGCCATTTACCTTCTTTTGATCTCTAGCTATTGCCACACCCTGTTCACCTGTTGCAGAAAAGCTTGTGCATTTATTGGACTGTTGTTTCATACAAAGCACCTCCTGCAATACTTGCTAATGTTAAGGACAGCTCATCAGCACTTTAAAAATCCAGTATATACTGGAAACACCAGCCTTTTGTTGTTCATCCTATTCATCAGATGTAAAGCTGAGCTGGTGGAGTACAGCTGTGCTGTCCCCACCCAAGAGCAGCAGATTTACACGGCATATGTGGCACGTAGGACATTTGTGCACAGCCCATCAGCTCTGTACGAGCCCAGGGCTCATGACATGGGAGCTGCATGGGAAAAGAGCACCTAAGAGCAGAGTGCTGCTGCTGGTTGTCCCTGATACTCCATTGCCCTGGATAAAAAGGGTCAATGGGAATGGGACATGGGCCACAGGCTGTATCGGGCACCTGTGTTACATGGCTCCTTTTTTTTTTTTGGTATGTCACAAGAATTTAGTTTGTGTGAGAGGAGTCAAAAAAGGATGAGCAAGAAAATTAAAGAAAGGATCAAAGAATAAACCTCTGGCAGGTTTATAATGAGCCCAGCTCTCCCCTGACCACCATTATGTCAGCGGTGTTGGTTACTTGGTTCGCTTGTCTAGCACAATGGTAAATTCTAAGGAGTTTGGTTATTGCTTGTTTGTACTTTGCCATAGGTGCTGTCCAGCCTGGGCACTCGGGCTCGCCTCTTGTGCCAGGTGCTTGTTCAGCTACTTATTCCAGCCTGTAAAAGAACCTGAACACAAACTGGCAGAATCTGCGTAGCAAGGCTCTGAAAATCATCTCCAATGATCCAGAAAGCTTCATAGCAAGCAGAAGGAGTCCTGCTCCTTGTCGGTGTGATTATGGAGATGCAGGGAGCAGGTATCCGTGTATGGCACGGCCTAACGAAGTAAGTGTGCCTTGTTTGTTAACTAACTGAGCATGTCCCTTCTGTGCCCTGCTAATAATTCCTCCTCTCAGGTTTTTCAGAGGGAAACTGCCACAGTGCTTAAGATGCACCATGAATAATAAGGTGCTCTTTCTGTGCTTTGGACATCTATTTTATTTGTAGAAGAACACTGAGCACAGCTCAGCAGCTTACCAGTCCTGGGCAGCTGTACAGTTTTAAAAATGTGTGGCAATATTCCATGAGTCCTTTCTGTAGTACTCTGACCTAGCTGTATTTGGTCTCTTTGTATGTCATTGGTGATGCACTTTATAAAAAAAAGGAAAGAAGGAACAACAAATATGAATCTTTGAAGGCTGGTAAAAAATAAACCTTCTATGGCTACACCTAAGGGGAAGCTGACAGTGTTTGTGGGTCAAAGTCTGGGAAAAGTGAAGTTAATTGAAAGGTAGGTGGTAGATGAGATGGCTACTTAGGATTGATATTTTGGCATGTTAAATAATTAAATCCAGGAAGACGATCTTAATGACAGAAGCCAGCAAAGAAAATGTGCTTCTCTGTGCTTGTGTTACTCCATGTGTGTATAAGTAGCACAAATTTGTCCTTTGGTATAGCAATCTTCCTTGGATGGGTGCACCCTGTGGTGCATCAGCAGAGAAAGTAAAGCTGAGGATCTTTTAAGTCCCAAGTGTAATCCCAGGCAATGCCACAACTGATTTTATTCCGAACAAACCTTTTAGTCCTCAGTGTGTTAATAGAGAAATATTCCTGTTTTTCTTAGAGGAATCTGTTAGGAAAGTTTCCTGGAATTCATCTAGATCTGGAGGTAGTACTATAGAAGAGGAGGAAAACAGAAGGAAAAATCTGGATTAATGGAAAAGGGCTTTAAAGGAATAAAAGTTATTATTTAACACAGAAGGAGGAAGATGGTTTATTATACTGGACCAAACAGCTAAAAAGACCTTACTTTATAAGTGCTGATGTAGGCTTATCTCAAACCAGGGTAAAGGTTATTGCATTAAAGGTTTCAAAGCTAGGAAATTCATGTTTCTAGAGTGGGTGCATAAATCTGAGACATTTTTAATCTCACTATGTAAATAAATCTCTTCAGAAAAATAAAATTGTACCGCTTTGATTCATTTGCCATAAACCCTTTTAATTTGATTTTGATTGATAGCTATATCCCCTGCATTAGAACTTTCTGAAAAATTTTTAAGATAAGCAATTACTCACTCTCTCTGGGTAATGCAAAGTTTTCAAACTTGTGAGGATGTGTTACTCCTGTATCAAATATAATTTGCAAATATTTTTTATATTATAATTGCATTTTGCTTTTATCTTTCACAGCATTTGTTCATGTTTCATGCCATACTTTCAAACTCTGCAATGTGACTGACTGATGTGGTAAGTGCAGTTAATTTTAATTCTGATTTTTAGGACTGAATTTGTCAATCAATATTGTTCACTGGAGTAATTCACTAACTGTCTCTAATTTCTTAGCTTTTTTTTTTTTTCCTCTTTCTTTCTCTTTTATTTAATAATTTAGAAGTGAAACTTCTCTAAGAGCTACCTGTCAATTTGGTGTTCACAAATTGAAGGATGAGTGGCTGTTGTTTGTATCCCACACGAACACAGCTCTGGTTCAGCAGCAGTGATTGTCAGTAGGCTTCCATCAAATCTGTGCTTTTACCCACATTCAATAGGCAGCCAAGATGCCCAAAAAGCAGAACAAGCTGCATCTTCAAGAAATAAAAGCACACAGGGAGCACGGGTAACCAGCAGTACATGATCCAAACCAGACAGATCAAATTAATTCTGTGAAGAGGACTGGATTATATAAACACATTACATATGCCAGATATTGATGTAGGACATTATTCTCTCTTATTCACAGGAGATTCTGCTAGTGTCAATAAGAGGTTTACAGAAAGATGTAAAGTGTCATCATCAAGTAGTAACTAATGTTTTAGTTAGCACCATTATTATTTCATATGCAGCATTACCTGATGGGAAAAACCCATTAACTTTAAAACCATAGTTGTGTGCTCTGTATTTCTTCTTGTTTGTTGTCCTTTCAACTTCCCTATCAGCCTTTAACATCAATCAACAAATTCATCCTTTTCCAGGTGAATAATGATCCCATACTGACTGGCATATCTGTCTGGAGAACAAGGAGTATAGCAGAGCTGGTCCCACAGCACCCCTGTTATCTAGGGCACAAACCTTGGATATTCAGGGGAAACATCCAGAACAGCTACACTAAAATTTTACCACAATTCACCTAAATTTTCCTAATTTTTTTTTTTTTTTTACTTTTATGTAATCCTATCACTTATGTCCCAGTACAGGAACTCAAGATGTCCACACCTACTGTGTACCGAGGCCCTTCCTGGCTGCGTGTGCAGCAGCTCTGCATGTCAGGCCTGTAGTTCAAAAAGATGATCCCTTTTCTCTGTGCAGCCAAAATTATGGACTTGCCATCTCAGTGAAGATAATAAGAACTGACTGGCCTAAATTGGACTTGTATTCTTAGTGCATTTTTGGCAACGTCATTGCTGTCCCTCAGAAACAGCCCACATTCCGTTCCTTGTTACTCAACATCAGTGTCGGGATAGATGTGTCCCAAATGCGGCAGCTTCCCAAACATCCACGCTGATGCGGTGATGAGCACTGCTGATAACATCAGCTGCCTGGAAAATGTCTCTCCCCACAGCTCCCCTGCCCTGATCCCACAGTAGGTGTCTGGATGCATCCCTGTTTCTTCTGGCAGATGGAAGCTTTCTGTTCGTGCAGACCCTGCTCCTTTTGCATCTTGGCTGAAAGCATTCCTTGAAAATAATACAAGCATGTCTTCCATCACAACATGGCATCACTGAGGTTCCTGCAGCACCTTTTTCCAGTGGCTTGGTGGAAGTCCTTGGTTGTACACAGCAGCCTTCTCTTGGCCTCCATAGCTGTCATAGCTCCTTCCAAAACCCTTCCAAGCAGCTCCTTCCGTGCCTCAGGTTATAGTCGGGTTTTTTGTTGTCTACAAAGCTTAGTTTAGATTGTAAAACAGCCTTTGAACTCTCTGGCTGGTTAGCAGAGGACTTGCAGTGGGGGATGTGTCCTGCCTGGTGCCACCATTCCTCCATATGACATCCAGACTGGTACTTCTACTGTCATTTTACTATTCTGAACTCTTCTCTCCCTCTTTCCCCCACCCCCCAAAAGTAGAAATAGTTATTTCATAAATATCCAAATGGGTTCTAGCTTTACGGATGACACACATTTAATGTGGCTTATGGTATATTATTCTTGCTTAACTTTGAGCTTTTGATTTAGCATTCCAGTTTAGCAGTGGTATTCCACAGGGGATATTGTTGGTTTCCAAATCTTTTGTCAGAGTAATTGAGCATAACATCTTTGCAGGTTTGTGTTTCAAAAGATGCATTATCTTTTCTTGTCCATTTGTTCTTTCCAGGCTATTCAAAAACTTTAGCTTTACAGATCCTTTGGAAGAATATGAGGTTTAGGGCTGATAATTTATGTTTCTGCTGAATTTGCAACTCTGCATGTGATGATTAATACACTTTTCTCCATAAATAAGAAGCGATGATATCTGTGAATTGGTAACAAAACAGAAGAATTTCATTAAATTCTGTATTTTGCAAGAGACTTCCATCCTTTTAAATCTTTATAAATTAAACATCATCCATGTCTGGCTGGCTGAAGAATGAATGTCAAATATAAGATATCTCCCTTAAATATTTTCTTGAAAGTAATCTATATGATTTACAACATATTGCAATTAACACTGACCTTTTGTCTGCTTCAAAAGAATGTGAGAACAGTTTTTTGACATCAAAGAGATTTTCTAAATTTCCAAAAATATTCCTGATGAAAGTTGTTCTGACTGGGAAAAATATGTCACCTTCATTTAAAAGTTATGGCACACTTGATAGATGATCTGCCTCCCTGCTAACCTTAGTTCATGCACAAAAGTGAATTTAAAAAGACTCTTGCAAATAATCATCTTTTAGAAAATGCAGATCCTCAGAAGTCAAAATTAAGAATCCTGTACTTCCTGTTTAAGATCAGCTGACAATTTATTCAAGATCTGGAGGCTGCTGTTCACTCTCCCACTTCTTTCCAGCCGCTTAATTGCCAGCCTACAGCTTCAGTTGAGTTTGCAATAAATTTAGTCTTTTTTTTCGTCCAAAATGAAAAAAGAATGAACAAAGTTCAGTTTTCACAAATATCTATATTAAACTTGATTTTACAATTTATATTAATGTATTTTAGACCTATAGACAGTTTTGTTTTTAATGAACAGTCATGAAAATGCTTGTGGAAAGGAAATAAATGGTCTGTGAATAGGATCAAATTTTTTAACATAGTAAGACATAGAGTCCTGCTCCTCTCTATTTGCTTACTCTTTGCTCTTCCCTACTTTGGTCCCCTTCTAAAGGTTAGGAAGGCTGCTCTGGCCACAGTGTCCTGCCAGTATGTGACAAGTTCAAGCACTGTCCCCCTGGGCACTTGGCTGGAGCAGCCTCTCTTTGTAGCAGCCCTGACTTTGATGGCGAAGTATTAACTGTTGGGTTGAGGGAGGGGAGGAGAGATCAGAGCACGAGTTAGGCCAGCTGCCAGCCACAGTAAAATTACTCCTGTAACCACTCCAATATGTGTACCAGAATTTAGGGACTCCGATATATTCAGACAGAACAGTTTTACACAAAGGGTAGTTGAAATACAGTCTGGAACAAACTGCCGAAGTCAGCAGTAGAAGCAAATAGTGTAAATCAGCTCAAGGAGGAGTTTTTGAAGAAGACAGGGGGAAGAGCACAGAGCTACCAGCTAGAAGTTCAAGTTTCAGATGATGAAACACAGATTGATTTGTATTTCCTGAGGTTATGAGGGCAGGTCTTCATGGACCGTGTCATCCTCTTTGGGCTGTTAAAAGTTCATATGTACTTTTGTGCTGTGTTCATTCAGTTTTAAGTGGTGCTTTTTCCCCCACACACACTCTCTTGCTCATACAGTCTCTTTAGATACTGTCTTGCAGAGGGGAATGTGAACCACAGAAACTGTTTCCTCACATCTTGGTGAACTTCACCAAAGCCAGTGTAATCATTTAGTTACAGTGGTGCAAGCAACTGCACTTTTCAGTTTATAGGCATATAAATGTGCCTGCGTTGTGTTGTTTCCTGGGAGGGGCCTCCTGACCATGATGTAATATTTATGGCTAAACTCTAATGGTAAGGAAATCTTGACTATTAAATCAAACATGGAAGTATTTTAGCTTTTCAGGGTACCACTAATCTCAGAGCTGTCACTCTGGTGTGATGAACAAAAGATGCTTGTTACAGGAGGGGCCAGAACAGAAACAAGGTGGGAGCAAACCCATTTTACTGCTCTTCAGTGATGAACCTCCATTTAGTCCTTGTGGCCACTGATGTGTTCTTCTGGAGAAATCCTTCCATAAAGGATCTTGTTTTGTTGGGTTTTTGTTTGTTTGTTTGGGGGTTTTGTTTGGTTGGTTTTGGGTTTGTTTTTGTTTTGTTTAATTTTTTAATATCAGGCAGTTCATGAACATAATAGCACGTGTAAGAGAGTCCCTTTTCCTTCTCCCACATTTGCAACCCAACTCTACTGCTCTCTGTTGGAAGTCCTGAGCTGACTCTCTTGAACCTCTAGGAGTCCTTCCTTGGCTGGATAGAGCTTGTCTTGATTTTTCCCTAGACTTTTTTTTTTTTAATAGATAAACATCTTAGATTGCCATTGCTACTATTACATGAGGAAAGCAGATTCTATTTTATTTCAGTCTTAAGTTTCAAAGCTGTGCTAGGTCACTTGTACATGTAATGTTTTCAGCAGATTTTTTTTTACTGTACAAGTTTTCCCTTCTTTTTTAATTATCTTTTATTGCAGATCTGATAAGCAAAACACAAATGTCTTTTGTTTATTTTGATCCAAGTAAGAACTCAAAATACAGGTGTGGGGGTTTTTTTTGCTTTTATTTGGGGTTTTTTGGGTTTTTTTTGTGGTTTTTTTGTTTGTTTGGTTGGTTGGTTGTTTTTGTGTGTGTGTGTGTGTGTGTGTGTGTTTTTGGTTTGGTTTGGTTTTTTTGTTTTGTTTTTTTTACTGAGATTCCCTGTGCCTTGGTTTTCTTGCTTAAAGTGATGTTTATTTTCATTGAGATTTCTCTGAGTATTTCCAATATTTTCTGCCTCAGCATAACATTACAAAATGCTCTCTGTTCATTCATTACTATGCCTATTGGGGTGCTGAAAGAGCATAAAATACCTCTTAATGATTCCCACTTTCTTCCTGCACTCACAACCCTGTTGGAAATCAGACATACAGTTTCATAACAAAGAAAAATAATAAGAAAATGAGCTGAACTTTGTAAATGACCACAA